CTCAGAGGAACCATCAGAAGTGCATTTTCCTTTTCCAGAACCGCACCCACCCACGTCTACATGAACGAAATAATACAATTACCGCAGCGCCGTGGTGCTCCCAAGCTCATTGGTACAAGAAACTGGACTGCTTCTGGCTCCGCCGCAAGTCCTGTGATCTGTTCTGTCCTGGACGAACGGTGGTGTGAACTTGTTCCTGAAGTAGAGGTGTGACAAGCTAGCGACTTGAGAAAACTGAGAGGATTGAAAGCGGGTCACTCAGGTTGTATATTTTTTGTTTTCGCTCTGCTATGTATTGGGGAACGCGCACGTGTAACAATCTCTCGCCTTGGAGGTGGGATGAGACGTCTTTCCATTCCTCTTTTCAGCCAGGAGGTACGGATTACTTTTCGCAGTGGTGGGTGCCATACTTGACCGCATACCACCGAAGGAATTCTGGACGCTCGATTGGCCGTGGCCATTTTCTGTCCTGTGCAAACTGAACTGAACTGAACTGTCCTGTCCTGGTTGACTGACTGACTGAAAACCGGAGGCTGGAATGACCTTCATCACTAGTTTGACCTTGGACGCACCGTTGACTGGTTCGTCCAGCTGTTGTGGGCATTGTTTTCATGCAACCGCCTGAGCCATTATATGTTGCAATCGGTAGGTAGTTACGCAACCGTCGAAATCCCCCACGTTTAGGCAATTCAGAAGCCAATTTACAAAGGATAGCAGCGGTTGAGCGTCTCTTCAGTTTCCCTGCAAACGTGAGATATACTTATAATTTTTGATAGTGGAATATTTCACTTTCTCCCAGAAATTACTTGTCCCGAGACGTGTCCTTGTTGGGGAAGGTGTCTTAACAAAGATATGTCGAAGGAAACCAAAGTTGAGGCATTTTTTCCTATTTAACGACTTATTGCTCTACGGACGCATCATCGTTCATCGGAAGGTGGTATGTTGCTTTGATTAATTCTTCACAATCATGCAGCTACGCAACCCCCATTATATTGATCTTATAGACTGTTCTGTTTCTGAAGTGAATGACAATGGCAGTGAGTACTACCAAGTAACATAGTTTTCCAGTTTTTAGAAACGGATTCTCCATTCTGAGTCCCAAAAAGTCATTCACGGTATACTCTAGTACAGCTGAAGAGAAGGCCCATTGGATTGCTTACTTACAAAAGTGTATAGCCGAAGCAAGGCTGTTAGGTGAGTACTAGGTGACTTCTTGTTTGAAATATAGATGTCTCCACTAATTCTCAAACGGTACAGTGGTTCTGCGATAATTTTTTTATTCCGTTTTTCTGTGTTTCTGCGTTTTATGCTTCCTATTTTAGAGATTTTGGCTTATTAAGTTTCTAGTTACCATTTCAGGAACTTACAGATCCTATTGACTACACCATGAAAACCTTCAGTATATCTGAGCGCGCATAATTTGCAGATGTGTGTATGTTATGTATGTTATTCTTTCTCACGTTTGGGAATTTTTAAGTGCAGATTCACAGAAGACTAGTGGTGACTGACTCTGTTACGTGGATCTTGAGGTTTAGTGAAACAAAAGTTTGCAAATTACAGTTGCTATGGGCAGCCTAGCGGACTTGTTCATGGCGCATCTGGAAAAGAAACAAACTAATATTCTGGGGAGTGCTATCCTGTACAAAAGATACGTCGACGACACCCTGGTTATAACCGAAAGCTTAGAAGAAGCTAAGATAAGTATGGATGAACTCAACAGACTAAATCCAAATATACGGTTCATAATGGAATCTGAATCCAACAACACTCCATTTCCTTGATACTACCATGACCAGAAGAGAAGACGGAACAATTGCTCGATCTGTTTATCGAAAGGAAACCTAGGCAGTTCAGTATTTGCACTTCGAGAGCTTTATGCCTCCGGAGTACAGACGTGGTCTTGTTCGGACCTTATTTGACATAACAAGGTGAATCTGCACGGAGGACAGAATTGAACAAGAACTGCAAAACCTCCGGGAGTTTTTAGCAAAAAACACTTACCCCGAAGCGTTTATTAATAAACATAGCAAACCGAGAATTGCGAAAGAACCGGTTGCGTCAGTTCCGAAATTGCGGGTCACATTGTACCTTCAGTTCAAAGGCGATGACGTAAGCTGTCTGCTCAACAAACGACTGAGATCAGCAATCGCTTGAACTTATTATGCAATCGATCCCAAAATAGTCTACTGGACAACCAGGATACTCACACCCCCGGAAGANGAAGAGAACGTCTACCTATGTACGCCAACTCTAATTTAATCTACTAATTCCAATGTGATTGCGGAGCGACCTACGTGGGAAGAACAGAGCGACAACTACGCAATCGGGTGGTAGAACATATTCCAAAAAGGTTCCAAAATCAGATAAGGGCAAGTCCGCTGCACAGAAAGGACGGTTGAAACTGCAAGACTCTATCCTCAGCCATTGCTCTACATCTACTGATGGCGCAACACCAGATTGACCGAAACAGCGTTTCGGATCTTCTACAGGACACAAGTTGCAAGATTGTTAAGGTTTGCTGACGCAATTGCTATCAATCGATGGAAGCCCCCCGTGTCAACAAAAAGAACTATATGTTAGCCTATCCCTACCCTGGTAAAATGATCCTTTCACCCCTCCTCCCTTTTTGTTTTTTAAAATTTTTTTTCTGTTTTAACGTATTTTGCTTTACTTTGTTGCCATGCTTAAGTCTTATATAAACATTGTATTTTCTGCAGTATGCACCATGTTGAGATGCAGCGAATTCGTTCTAGACAAATTGTACGGTATAGCAATATGGTTTTTTATTTTGAAACAGTTGTATTTGTCCCAAAACTACGCATAAATTGCGAACCGCTTTAGTAACATTTTAAAGCCAGTCGTGTGGAGCAACGTGATTTATATCAGAAAGACAACGGCTTTAGCTTTATTCGCTAGAGTTAGTTCTCCGTTTGTGACGATTTTTAATTCATTAAAGAATTAAAAAGCACTAGGGACTCTCCAACAGTCTTCTTAACCCTCGAAACAGACTCACTATTCATCCGCCCTACACGTTTGTGCTTGCCGGTTATAAATTTTGATCCTGGCAACGATCAGTGAAGTTGGCTTCATTACCTTTTACTGTGCGATGATATTTATGATTCGAAACCCTTATACTTCGTATACCTTAAGCAAATGAGCATACTCATCAAGGAAGTGTGCATTCAATGTAATGTTACTTAGCAGTAGGATGAGTTTGTCTAGAAAAATATCGCATGGTTGATTCAGTTGTAAATGATCGGTTACTGGGTTATGGAATGACAAAAAGACGTTCCATTCTCTAACTGGAGGACCGTTATGTTCCATTTAAGAAATTTGAACTTTGCCTGCTAGCCCTAAGCCGCGGTTCTACAGAACTGCTTCTTATTGAGCAGAGGTCATACTTTGGTAAACCGCTCTATAAAAGAGCTAAANACAGACTGAAAGTAGCTAAAACATTTGAACTTGCTGCAATGCGGCGATTCCACCGCCTTTCCGTTCACATGTGATTTACAGAGGCTCAAGTTTTCCTCTCGACTGAAAGAATTAAACAGTGTTAGGTACACTATTTTATTATATGCTTTGCGTGATGCTTGCTTGGATATCTAGAGGAAGGGAAGGGGCTTCGCTTAAGCATCGACGAACACATTAAATTCGAATTTGAAACTGAGGAGTACACGCAGTAGATACAACT